AGACGATTTGCTGCTACAGAGGGTTCTTGCTGCAGCTAAATCTGGAGTCTTGTAGGCTTTCTGCTGCAGCTAAAGGAGACAGTTCGCTGCAATAGAGGGTTCTTGCTGCAGCTAAATCGGGAGTCTTGTAGGCTTTTTGCTGCAGCTAAAGGAGACAGTTTGCTGCTATAGAGGGTTCTTGCTGCAGCTAAATCTGGAGTCTTGTAGGCTTTTTGCTGCAGCTAAAGGGGACAGTTTGCTGCTACAGAGGGTTCCTGCTGCAGCTAAATCGGGAGTCTTGTAGGCTTTCTGCTGCAGCTAAAGGAGACGATTTGCTGCTACAGAGGGTTCTTGCTGCAGCTAAATCTGGAGTCTTGTAGGCTTTTTGCTGCAGCTAAAGGAGACAGTTCGCTGCTATAGAGTGTTCTCGCTGCAGCTAAATCGGGAGTCTTGTAGGCTTTCTGCTGCAGCTAAAGGAGACAGTTTGCTGCTACAGAGGGTTCTTGCTGCAGCTAAATCTGGAGTCTTGTAGGCTTCCTGCTGCAGCTAAAGGAGACGATTTGCTGCTATAGAGGGTTCTTGCTGCACTTCCATCGAAGAGGAGACTGTCGGCTAACTCTGCTATAAGGCTCCTCTGAAAAGAGCGTTTTGGAGCAGCAAAGTTCTGGTTTCTTATATTTTGATAATATTTTAATTGTTTATTTTATAACAAACAGAAATATAATACATTTTTAGCTTTCTAGAGTCGAGGAGAAGGGAGTGGAGGCAGCGGCTGTCCCTGGGTATGAGGTGTCGTCGGACAATTTAATAAAAAAGGGGTCTGTAATGCATTTATTTGAACTATTATTAATAAACAAATATAAAAAATATATTATTTTAGAAGTAAATATCTTATTTTCCTTCGCTGCTGCTGCTGCGCCAGAGCACGTATGGCGGTGCTGCCCCAGGTAGCTACGGGCGCTGGCTGCTGAAGCTACGCAGCGTACAAGGGGGGTTTGTTTGTTATAAAAGAGACTGTTTATCCTTCTTTTGAGTTAATTTATTGCATAAAAGAGTGAAATTAATCAAAAAGAAAGAAAAAATACACCTGAAACCCCACAAATTATTGGGAACCGATCCCCGGCGTTGAAGACTCAGACCCCTGGCTGGAGCGACCCCTTTGCTGCTGGGCATCTCCACTGAAAAGAGAGGCATTAGGAAGCTGCTGTTGCTTATTTTTTATTGTTGTTCTATTCTGTATATTCTTCTTTGTTTTTCTTTACTTTTTACTCCCTCAATCACCTCCAGCAGCAGCAACTGCCCTTACGCGGTTCTACCGCCCCACAGAGCTCTATACCTTATCTCTCTATAGCAGCAGGGCCTCAACCTCTAACCTCTTTAAAACCTCTAAAGCCTTCAGGTGTCTGTACAGCTTAAGAACGCCTTAAAAAAATATACCCTGAGAGGTATCTCTTCTTCGTTCTTTAACCGCAGCAACAGGGGCCCACCAACTCGCCCTTCTTCTCCCCATCACCAGCAGCAGCAGCAGCAGCAGCAACAGCAGGAGCAGCAGCAGGAGGAGGGGGCCACTGAGTATTTGAAGCAGCAGCAGACTCTCGTAGAGCTGTCGTTTCTCTGCTGGAATGCCTGCTGCTAGGTGTACGTACACCTCAGGGCCTCTTCCGAGTGAAGTCAGGTTGTTTTAAAGAGGAAAGGGGCCCCTTTATTTATATATTTATAAACAGAGATAGAAAGATGGGGCCCCTACCACATTGTATATGGGGCTTCCGTCCTGTGCGGCTGCAGCGGCTGCTGCAGCATCTGCTGCTGCTGCTGCTGTTGCTGCTGCTGCTGTGCAGCTTGTTGGAACCCTGCAACGCGCGTATGCGACATTCGCCAAGGCAGATGGAGCAGCAGCAGCACTCACCTCCTTCGAGTCAGCAGGGGCCTAATGGTGGAGCAGAGCGAGTTAATGCGAGGGAAGAAGACGTGGAAGTAGAATTAGTAGTTGAAGATCCTAGAGATGTAGCAACAGAGAAAGTGTATCTACAAGGAAGAAATGATGGACGTACTAATAGAGGGCCTCGAGGGCGGAAGAATGCTAACGCTTTATTATCGCGTCATGAAGGAGACGAAGACATGGTGCCATTGACTATATCTAAGAGGGGTGTAGCTTCTTTATTAGCTGTGCTTCTTGCTCTGTTATTAGCAAAAAGAGTTATAAGCATTGAAAAAAGATTATCAAAAGAAGAAGCAGCAATGGAAGCAGAAACAGAACAGCTAGAGACAGCAACAACAGCAGGCGCTAAACTAAGAGAAGCGCAACAACGGGAGGATCTGGCTGCAGAGACAGCTCGTCAAGAGTTAGATGCAATAGAGAAGCAAGACAGGCAGAATGTTGCTTTATTAAAGATTTTAGAGGAAAAGAAGCAGGCTGCAGAGAAGGGCAAAGAGAGGGCTAAGCTTCCCATCGACGAGCAGGTAGATGAAGCATTAAGAGCAGCAAGAGCAAGACTAACAGCAGCATTGGACGCAAAGGCAGATGCTGAGGCTTCTCTAGAAGCTATAGGAGAAGTTGAAAACCTTACAGAAGAACAAGCACAGGTATTACTGGCTAATATACAAGATGATATAACAGATGCAGAGAGAGTAGCAAATAGACTAGAAGCAGGTCTAAGTAGAGGAAGAAAAGCAAAAACAGCATTTGGTGTAGAACAAGCACTTAGAAATATGCTGGGTGCAATGGAAAAAGAAATGGAAGCTGTTGAAGACGAAGTTCATGACTGGCAAGAAGAAATAGAGCTTACGAGGGAGAAGCTTCTGCTAGAGACTACAGCAATAGACGAAGAGCTGGAAGACCTAAAAGAAGTACAGACTGTATTAGAAGAAAGAAGAGATAACGTTGAACAAGCTTTGCAACAATGTGCAGCAGAGAAAGCGGCTGTTATGAAAGAAATAGACGAGACAGAACAACAGCTCCAAGATGGAGTTGAACTCCTCGTTAAGCTTCAGAATTTGCCTAAAGTATATAAACGCAGAGAAGAAATGCTGAAAAAAGCTGCAGAGCTTCAAGAACAACTCAAAGACGAGATAGAAGAATTAATCGGGGTGACCTTAGGTAAAGGATCAGCAGAAGGAGCAGCAAAGGAAGAAGGCAGCAGTACTTCTGACGGCTTGGGAGGTCTATTCCCTGAAGAAGCGCAGCTTGTCAAGCTTAAGCAGCAGCTTGTATATTTAAATAGACGAAAAGAAGAAACAGAATTAGAGCTAGCAGCGCTGAGTGATGAAAAAGAAAAGGCTCAATTAGCTAAGGCATTAGGAGCTCTTATTGTTCAGCAAGCTGATTATGAGGTTGATGCGTTTGTAGATTTAGAGGAAGAAGAACCTACAGATGGAGATGCGACTCAGAAAGAACAAACAGAGGGTGAGGGCTCAACACAACAGGAACAGACGCAGCAAAATGCTTCTACTCCTGCTCCTGACGACAATGCTGCTCCTGCTGCTCCTGCTGCTGATGATGCAGCAGCAAAAGAATCTTCTACAGCGAAGGGTGATGGCGCCTCTGGTGCTGCTGCTGCTGATGATGTTGATGTAGCAGTAAGAGCAGGGAAGAGTGAAGAGTCTGGGGAAAAAGAAGAACAAGAACAAGAAGAAGAAGAAGAAACTATAAGTGAAGCGATGCTAAAAGCTCAAGAAGACGTAGCTCTTGCTCGACATAGATTGCACGACGTAGCAGAAAAAAGGCGTAGACTTGAGCGAGACCTGTTATTCATAAAAGCACAAATAGATAAGACGGAGAAACAGATAGAGTATTACCAACGTCTTGTAGACAGGCTAAAGGGTTTCCTTGAAGACAGAGTAAAGCATGCACCAGCCCATGCTATGGCAAGAACAGAAGCGATGGAGAGCAAGATTGGGAATATCGAGAAGGCCTTACGACGCCTGCAGAAGAATGCGAAGAAAATATATGACCAAGCAGCAAAAGCTCTTGCTTCAGCAACAGATCTTGTTGCTGAACAACAGGAGCAGCAGCGTATCTGCCAGGCTGCTGATGATGCAATATTATTAGCACTAAGCGCTCTCTTTGAAGAATTAAGCGAAATGCGTCTAGCGGGGAGATTAGCGACGGATGATCTCTTATACTTGAGGGAGAAGGAGATGCTTATGGCCCCTACAGTATTTGGCGTTTTGCTGCAACAAGCTGCTATGGAAGGCCCCTCATGTAAGGAACAGAAGGAAGTTGCGGAGGCCTGGGTAGATAGAGTAGAAGCAGAAAGAGAAGAGCTTCGAGTGCAATTACAGAGGTCTATTGACTTTGAAGAACAACTTGAGGAGTGGCTTATCGCAGTAGAAGAAGCAGCGACGGTGGATCTACTGAACATACGAACAGACGTCATGAACGCCCTAAGCGCTCTAGCAAAGGAACGAGCTAATAAGAAGTTTTGTGAGGCAAGATTAAAGGCTATAGAACATCTAACCCAAGGATATATAGAATCTGCAGTTGATAGTCTCTTTACTGAGGCACTCCGCGAACGAGGACGTAGAGAGGCAATGTATGGGCTAGATATGGAAGTTGCAGAGGGTATACATGAGGCTTCTAAAGAAGCTATTTCTGAAGAAGCAAGTAGATTAAGAGGATTGTGCAAGATGGCTGCTTCTCTTGAAGAAAAATACTCTCCTTTACACGCGGTAGAGTTCCTACAGTCTCCAGGGAAACCCAGAAAAGTACGAAAGGTACCGTTTCCTGAAGGAAGCTCAAGAAGGTTTGCTGGTGAGCTTGTGGATGAGAGACCTAAACCTACTTCAACTAAGATATTTAGCGATGGATCTACAGGAGAAACGCATGAAGGAGTGCTGCAACTGGGAAGAAAAGGTAAAGGAATTACTTCTAGTAATGAGAATACACATACACCCGAAGCCTCCACTGAAACACGCGAAGAAGAAGACACACAAGAAGAAGTAAAAGAAGATAAAGAAGGCGAAGAAGACAAAGAAGACAAAGAAGAGAACGCAAGCACAGAAGAAAGTGTATAATGCACAACTTATACAGAGGAACGCGCAACGCCTCCCCCAATGCAGTAATTATATAATAAGAGTAGCTACAAGACCCTCCCGGTCTCTTCGTCTGCAGCGCGTCTGTCTCCTTTTGCTGTCTCTTGATTGCTGCTGCCAGAGGGCATCAACAGTAACAAGAACTAAGAAGGAGACAGACTTATTTTAAAGTGCTGCTTGCAGTTGAATGAGGGGTTGTGGGGCCTTGCATGCGGAGCATGCATGCTGCTTCCCCTTCGGGGGAGACAACCGATGCTGCCTGGAAGAGGAGGAGACAGAAGCTGCTGTCTCCTTCTTGCGAGGAGAAAGGAAGTGTCTCTTCGTTGCTTGAAGATAGAAAATGTCTCCTTTCTGTAGGGAGATACATACTGTCTCCTTGGCTACAGGAGACAGAAAGTATCTCCGTGTTGGAGGGAGAAAAGATGTCCCCTTTGTTGTAGGGAGACAGCAGGTGTCTCCTTCTTTATAGAGAGACAGCAGGTGTCTCCTTCTTTATAGGGAGACAGCAGGTGTCTCCTCTGTTATAGGGAGATGCAACGCTTCTCCGTTGTGGGGAGACAGCAGGTGTCTCCTTTGTCGTAGGGAGAGAGAATGTGTCTCCTTTGTTGTAGGGAGACAGCATGCGTCTCCTTTGTTGTAGGGAAAAGGTGTCTCCTTTGTTGTATGGGGACATAAGGTAACTTCTTGTTGTAGGGAGAGGAGTTTTCTCCTCGAAGAGGTGTCTCCTCGTTGCGAGGAGACAGCAGCTGCTTCGGCTGCTGTCTGTCTCCTGCTGCTGCCGTCGCCCGCAGGAGATGCATGCAAGGGCTTGGTTAATTAAGAAGACAGGGGCCCCCCTGGGGATAGCGGCTCACCTGCAGCGCGCCCATCACCATTTAGAGACTGTCTCTTTTTGTTTCTGCCTTGCACAGCACAGTACTACTGTCCGAGGGGCCCCTCATGTAGATACACCATAGCCGCACCAAGGCTGTCTCCGTTGCATGCCTGCATGCATGCATGCAAGCATGCATGCATGCATGCACTCTATACGGCCTTCTACACACTGAGGAGGAGACAGCTACGAGGGCAAGGCCCTCCCCCCCTTTCCGCACCTCTTCCCCCAACAGGGAGGAGCAGCGCTCGTCTGTGGGGCCCCACAAGGTTCAGGACAGCAGCTGGGGGGCCCCCAAACAGAGGAGGGCCCCCCATAGGGAGCGGGGCTTCAGCACGACCTGTAGGCAAAGCCTGACAAGTGGAGGCCCCCACCACACTGTGGGGGCCCCGACCACACTGCAGGGGGCCCCAGTACATACACCTCAGGGGGCCCCAACTAAGTAGGGGCCCCCCCGTACTATGGGAGCCCCCCCTTCAGTGTGTGGGACCCCACAGTGAGCAGAGTTAGGGGGGCGGGCTTTATGGGGACCTCTTTGATTTTTATAAACTGTTGGCGAGTCTCTTTCTCTGGTTTGTTGGGCTGTATCTTGAAGGCGTGAGTTACACAATACTCAGCAGCAGCAGCAACAGCAGCTGCAGCAGCGGCAGCAGCAGAGCTGCCGTCAATATGCTGTGCAGCTGGTGCAGGCATAGAAGGCTTAGGAAACCTAAGCAAGCCCCAAGGAGTCCCCTGCATGCTGCTGCTGCATGCAGACAGTAGTCTCTATGTAGTAAAGGAGTATGTAGGGAAGAAAGAGACGATAGAAGGGCTGGAGAGCTAATAGGTGGTTAGGAGTGTAACTAATAAATGCTTATAATAGAGCAGGGGTGGCGCATACAAAGGGGGCCCCCCTACCTTCTTCGAATAAGAAGGGAGGGGGCCCCCCATAAGAAGCAGCAAACAAAGTGTTGTGAGGTATTATTTGTCTCTTTACATCCTTATATAGTTCTAAATGCTGTATTTAATGAAGTTATTTAGATATTCTTGTCTTATGCATCACAAAAGGTAAGGTAGCTGAGTAAGAAAAACTATACTTTTATAAACAGATACAGCTGTCTCTGTCTCTGGGCTGTATGCATGCACAGGGAAGAGTACTTATGTTTGCTACTACAAACTAAAAGGAGACATCTTCACTTTCTTCTGCTGTCTCTAAAGCGCCCTAAAATATAATCCTCTATATATAATAATGAGCTCTAGGGTTTAGGGTTTAGGGTTTAGGGTTTAGTCTAGGGTATATGTAAAAGCATTAACAACGATATACTTTGTATACACCTGTTCTACACCTTATTATTAGCGAAGTGTCTTTATGCATTTATTTGCTTCTCTATTCTTTTTATTTAATAGAAATATCTCTCTCAATAAACTTTTATTATTTCTTCCACAAGCTACAACACAAAGAAATAATAAAAGTATATTGATAAAATAATTATAAATTACTTTTTATAATCTCTTCCTTAACTACCTCCATTTACGTTTTGTTCTATTTGTTGTTTGTTTTTGTTTTTCATTCATTTGCTGCTGTATCTTTTTGCTTAAATAAATAAATCTTGTCTCCATACACTCCTAGGTGTATCTATGTCTATATCTATATGCTTATCGGTATCCGCATATATATATATATATATGCATATCTATAGGTATATATCTATATCTATATATCTGTATAT